CGGGAGCACCGCCGCACTTCCCAAGCGGTGCACTGTAGCAGTGCGCCACCGGGCCGGCCCTAAAGAAACATTTTCCCTTTTTTTTCTGGTGGCTGTCCAGTACCCAGTACGGCAATCCAAATCCATGACCTTGATGTTATAAGGCTGCTCTATAGCCAACTGAGCTAACTAGCCAGCCCAATTTCCCTTTTATAATGTCCAAGATAGAATTTCCTTGTACCAGGAAGGTTTTGTACACATGAAGTATGGTAAGTGAACTTTCAAAAATAGTTAGAGTCTACTATAAAGCCTCAGCCTATAATTTTGATGTTGATTTTGAATTAATAATTATGTTTAAGTAGGAATCGAGAACTTAGGGTTTATGATCGTTGGGTACAAAGGTTCCTACTGTATTCAGCATCAGGACTCCTAGATAAATACATATTCTTTTTCATTTATTGGGGGGGTGGAACAGTCCTTGAGTTAGTCACTTAACTTCTGGGGCTTTCCTGATCTACCTTAATCTTCTCTATCTGTAGGGGAAGTACTGTGATATACTGTGTTCGATATATATATATATATAATATGAGGGAACTTCAAAAAGTTCATGCAAAAATTGAATTAAAAGATAATACAGGGGGAGCAAGATGGCGACGGGTCTGGAGCAGGCATGCCAGAGGACGGAGCGAGCCTGAGAAGTGTGCGCTGTGCTCCCAGAGTACTATTTGCATTTCCAAGAGCAACAAAANAGAAATAAAGAAAAATATACAAAACCTGAGAGAGGAAGTATACAAGGAAATCAATGTCCTACAAAAAAAATGTAGGGCCGGCCCGGTGGCACACTGCTACAGTGCGCTGCATGGGAGTGCGGTGGCGCTCCCGCTGAGGGTTCAAATCCCAAATACAGACCGGTTCCCACTCACTGGCTGAGCGAGGTGTGGGCGCAGCACCGAGGGTTGCGATCCCGTTGCCGGTCCCGGTCCGGTCCGGGCGCGACACTGAGAGTTGCGATCCGTTGCCAGACACGAAAAAAGACAGAAAGGAAAAAAAAAATGTAGCAGAACTTACAGAACTGAAGAAGTTATTCAGTGAAATAAAAAACAC